AATCTAGGTTGTAAAATAACTTTTTAAATTTAATAATTTAAATTATTAAATAAAATTTCAATAAATAATTTATATTATTATTTAATGTATCTTTTTAAATAATATTTTAAAATTTGAAATTTAAACCCATTCGTATTATTTTATATTTATTTTTTATTAAATAAATAAAAATAATAAAATTTAAGCTTGTAATTATTTAATTATCAAAATTATGGTATTATATATAAAAAAAATTTAATAATTTACACTGTTGAATAAATTTTAAAATATAATTTATATTATTTTAATATAAATTAAATAAATAAAAATAGTAAAATTTAAGTTTGTAATCATTTAATTATCAAAATTATGGTATTATATCAAAAAAAATAATTTAATAATTTACACTGTTGAATAAATTTTAAAATATAATTTATATTATTTTAATATAAGTATTTATTAACTGTTGTGCGATAAATAATAAATCCTTCAGCCGAGACGATGACAAATACAATTTTGAGGTCTTTTTTTAGAGTTGCACTTGTTATTATAGTCAATGTGAACACACACTCAATTTTCATTTTGATGATGATTTGGTGAGATAGGGTTTATTTTAGAATTAGGTTAATCGATAAATATTTAATATTTATATTTTTTAAAATACTATGTTATTTTTGTAAGGTCCGATCTGATTTAACGGTTCTAGTTTTTTCAATATTCCTCCCTCTATCAAGGATTTACTCCATTAAATAATCACTCTAAGCGGGTTCGTAGTTCGAAGTAAATGGTTCAAACATAACTTGTTGCATGGTTGGCTTCTATTCGGAATCAATAGCCCTTTAAAGTTACAATATGGCAATTGCTACCGTAAAAGATGCACAAGCAAGCATGATAATAGAGGTTTACGAAGGTAGAGTGTAAAGGATTTACTCCATTAAATAATCACTCTTGTTTATGCTTAATAAGAGTCGGTAATATCTTTCGACTCTATCTCTACGAAGGCCTACTAATCCTTATATTTATTTGTCTTTGTTTATATTACATAAATTTTTCAATCTTTCACACTTGTCTTCATTAGAGGTCCATGTAATTTTTTTCATGAGCAATTTTCATTAAGTACATAGACAAGAAAAAAATTATATTTATATATAAAAAAATTAAGGTGATCCCAGGAAAGAAAACTACATAGCTTATCATAGACATGTATTAAAAAAATACTTCTAAATAAAAATGATACACAGAAGTATTGAATCAGAGGATACTGCATCCATCTCCATGTTCAAATAATTCAGATAGTTTTACCTAGTTTCATAGAGATAAAATTTCTTTTATATCCTTGTCCATTTAAATAAATAATAACATAACTCTATAAAAATGAATATAATTGTCATCCCCATATTCGGATATTCCTATATGCTGCCGGTTGTAGCGAGCACAAGCCATTTTTAAGTAGAAGGCGAAAGACGAGCTCGCTCTGCCCCTGCTACACGGCTCCGTTGTGAACTCAATTCTAGCCGCGAGACCGTTGTTGTCCATTTCCACTGGGATTATTAATTATTTCTACTCTTTTCGACGCGGGATGGCGCTAAATTCTACAAAAGCTGCGCACTTAATTTCTCGCACGTACAGAACCGATCACGCCACACGCTCCCACGCACTATCGCGTGCAGCACTCTGTACTCAACGGTCAACACAATATAAGTGTTTTTTATGTGTTGTTTAGAATGTGAATGTTGTTATTTTTTAAAGTATGTTTTATTTAAAATATATTAAATTTTTTTAGAAAATTATTTTGAAAAATAAAAACAAATAATTAGCCAGTATATTTTTTATATGCATAAAAAAATATCAAGGTGTTTCAAACATATAGAAAAATATATATAAGAGTTGAATCATAAATTTGATTATGTTTAATAAAGTTGATTAAATTAAATAATATAAATAAAAAATATAATTATAATAAAAAACCAGTAAAAAAAAAAGAGAAGAAAAAAAAAGGACCCAAACTCATTTGGATCATCATGTTAAATTTATAATATTTGGATTATCATGTTAAATTTATAATATTGTTATGATGTCATTTTTCTATTTCAATCCATACTTGTAAGTAAAAAAATATATTTATATGTTTTTTTTAGATATTTGTTTTACATTTTAAAAGCATTCTTGAAAAAAAAAATTATTTTTTAATTTTTTTCTCTAGTTTAAATTAATTGTTTTTGGTATTTCTAAATCATTTTTATATGTTGATATAAAAATTAAAATTTTAAAAATAAAAAATATTATATTAATATATTTTTAAATAAAAAATACTTTAAAAATAATCACTGTCACCTCATAAATATTTCATAAATATTATTTTAAATCTAAAGATTTACAGCACAAAAGGTTAGTCTATTTTGTCACGGGTGAAGCATGATTAAATATCATCTTTGGTTTTGGTTGCTTATATGATGGTCACTGGAGGTTTACATGGTCGTTAACTTCAGGACCCGTGGGATTAGTTGTAGTGCACGCAAGCTGACGTAAGCTGGCCCGGACACCTACGTTAATCAAAAAAAAAAAATCATCTTTGGTTGTTTTTACCCCCGGATACCCACGTTAATAAAAAAAAAATATATATCATCTTTGGTTGTTTTTATCCTCCAATCAATAGTTTAGCTAAACTGAACCTCTAATTTGTCAGAATTAAAATAAATCCGGAAAGCTCACTAAATAAATAAATGTTACAGAAACGTGAATAATTTTGTCCTTGCGGATAATGCATGGTAAAGGGATTCATGAAACCACGGGTTTTTGAGTTTCTGTTGGCCAAGGACAAGTTTTGTGATGAACTGGAACACCTAAAAACTGCAAAAATGCACCTCAGCCAGCCGATTCTGGAAGAATTTAACATTTCAAATTAATTAATATGGGCCTTCACAGAACGAGGAACCTTCAAAAATTGGCGCATGCCATTATGAGTATCCTTTTGCTAAAGGCAATAAAGTGGTTTGCTTTCTGTTTACTGCATGACTCCATGATGACAGCCGAGTTCCTGTTCTCTCTTATACTGAAATGGCGATGCAAAGCTTCCTTCCAACGTGGGATCTTCCCATCATAGCTTTTCTATATTTAAAGCTCTCTATCAAATTAACTAGTCCTCCGTCAAGTTTGTTTATTCAACACAAGTGTGTATACCACCCAAGAACACATTTCAGACCCAACAAAAAATCAACAATTTTTGTGAAATTAGTTTCCGATTTTGGCCAAGATAAAAAAAAGTTGACGTACTTTAGGCTATGGTGCTCAAGGGTTCTGCTTAATAAGTTGATCACTGATACTGGTACTGTGTTAATTGAAATTTTGTTGGGAAATTAGTATTTTCAAGAGAAAAGAATGAATATTATGATTGCGAGGGAGGGACTATTACGGAGAACCAGCAAATAAAGGAGGAAGACGATGTGAAGTGTGAACAATAAGTACCGAAGAAAAAGAGCAAGCCAAAATTTTGTTGCCTGGCAGAGATCCATTATTTCTCAGTTGACTATACGAGTGGAAGTTGGTGGAAATCACGTGTATGCATTGATGCATCGCTGCGAGTAATTTATATTAGAATAATATAAATTATATTTTAAATTTTATTTAATAATATAAATTTTTTAGTTAAATTAATTTTTCTATATATTATTAGAGTTTTGATAAATAAATGATAATAATTTTAAATCTTACTATTTTTATTTAATTTAATAAAAAATTAAGTATAAAAAATAACTTTGTGAAAGTTTTAAATCCACAAAATTTTTACTTTAAAAAATAATATTTTAGACCTTACTTGTAATTTAAATTTTTAATTGAAATGATTCTTAAACTTGCTATTCTTACTAGTCAAACCGATCTTGAACTTGTAAGATTTCTTCAGTTCGATATGAGGTCCTCAAGATTCGTTGAATTCATGCCAAAAGCATGTTCTCAAAATAAATAGCAGCTAGCTAGTATTTGGAAAACTTGTCACAATAAACAGAAGATGAAGAATATTACAGGCCTTCCTCATTTGTAGTTGACGATCCATCCTATTCGAACTTAGATAAATTGATGCATCCTCGCTCTTCTATATGTTGGTCTAAAAGCCAGGCGTATAGGTAACCTCTGCACTCCTTTTAGTCTTTCTATTTTCCACTTCATCCTTCACACCATCTCTTCCCTGCATCATAAATTTGTAGATGTATCATGCGTACGCCTGATTTTGCATGTGATTTTATTTTGATGGGTCGAGTTCTTGCCCCGAGGAGCTGGCTCTGTAATATATGCAGATTGGATGCAGATCAGAGGTCATCCTCTCATAATTAATGCCTTTTGCTTCGAGCAGGAGATAGGCGTCCTGACGACATAAAATCGAAGGTTACTCCGGTGACGAGAAAAAGATGGATGTCTTGAGGACATCAAATCAAAGGTTACTCCGTTGATGAGACTAATTAAATATTGTTTTTTATTTAGAAATATATTAAAATAATATATTGTTTTTAAATTTATTATTGATATTAATATACTTGAAAAAAAACATGAAAATTATTTTTTTAAAAAAAATTCTTAGCCGGCGCACTACAGTATTCTAATAGCTTTTTATTGTTTTATTTAAATCCAGCATTGTAATGGGTGTCGATATTATGTCAATGCCAAAATTATAAATTCCCTTAGGATGCTAATTAATACTGAAGCAAAGATTTTCAGCTCCTTTTCTAGTGCCAAAAAACAATGATTGGGCAAATAAAGGAGCTTTTGTTCTTAGCTTGTAGCCTCTGTTAAATGTCATACTTAAAATCCCATCAAATTAAGAAGAGCTTGGCTTTAATATATTGAGTTATTATCTCCTTTGGTTCTTTTTTAAACTTCGATTAAATTTTTTTTTACAAAACATGATGATATAAAAAAAAAACACAGAAATCATGTGAAGAATGTTGGAAGAAAAATGGAAAAATCTAGGCAGGCCCTATTGAAATCTAACAAAGCTGAGATATTCGTCATTGACCCAACTATACTTTTCAATGGATGGGTTGATAGTGGTTTCTGGGGGGGTATTGGTCTATGCTGTCTTTCCAAACATTGGCATCCTTCAGGTCCCTCGTTACCTCGAAAACACAGCTGTTGCACTTGAAACCTGCGCCAAGACTGGTCATTAGTATTTTATTACCTTTTTTAAGCCTCTGCTTAGCCTCCATGTAGGCTAAAACATACCAAAGGCCACCAGCTGATGTATTGCCAAATCGATGAAGAGCCATTCTCGCTGGCTCGAGATCATAATTACTGAGGCTTAAACTTTTCCCAACCTCATCAATTATTGCCCTTCCACCTGGGTGTACACAGAAATGGTCCGCTCCAGTCTTCAGATTCAAGCCTGCTCCCATTTCTTGAAGACTGTTCCTTTTGGTTTTGTTCTGCTGACGAGATACATAAACATAGCGAAGTTGTTCACTTAGTGGTAATATTTTAGGAAACAAGACACGAAGATTCGCAGCAAGAGCCTTAGCAGCAGATATTTTAAGGCTTTTAGTAAGGAGAAAACCTTTGTAGCCAAGGTCATCTGCTACTTGTATGCAGCATCCGCAGGCCTCGTCGTTTGAGCCAAGATGCGTACGCACGACATGTTTCAATCTGTAGATAGCTTGATGTTTTAAAGCACTGTTGTTTGTGAAGAGCATTGAGCAACCTCCTGAACGGAAGAGGCAGTTTGAGAGCATCATGGATTTTTCTTTGCCTTGGTACCAATTTGAACCTAATGATTCTGTACTCACAACAATAGCGAAGGCATTCTTGTATGACTTGAACAAGTGTTGCACCAGATCAATGGCTACAATGCTTGCACTGCAGCCCATTTCGGAGAGGTTGAAAGTTTTAACGTTTGATCTCATCTTGTAACGATTAACTACTCGAGCTGTCAGAGAAGGTGCAGGAGAGAACAAAGAAACATTGACAACAAGTATGTCAATTTTCGTTGGAGAAATTCCTGTTTTGGCAAAGAGCTTGTCGAGCGTGTCAAAGATGAGACCATCCATTTCCGAAATGGAGTCTTTCAGGGTCGGAGAATCCTCTTGGCCTGAGATAACGTTTCTAGGGCTATACGTTTCTTCACCAATGCCCGAGCTAACAATAGTTTTTAAGAGAAATTTGTATTCTTGTAGCCCCAGGTTCTTATTTCTGAGGACTATTCTTGCACAAGTGTCTGTGTCAAGCTTCCTATCCTCTGGAGCTTTGTAGCATTCATAAGCCATCATATAGCAGCAGGCTTCTCTCTTCTGAAAAACCAACTTACGAAGGCAGAAAATAATGAAGAAGAGAAGGCAAAATATCATGATCAGCTCCATTGGGAGGAAGAAATCAGTTTTCAATGTTGAGCGTGTATACATCAGAGCTATAGGACTTCGGTCTCTTTACAGAGCTATTTGTAGGTCACGTGAATTGTGTGCCACCCCACATGTCTATCTGCTTTCAGTACTGCTGCTTCAGTCAAAACTTGGGATTGTTGAGAGAAAAATCTCTTAACAACCTCCACGAATTGTTACAAACAATAAACTGAAGTTGTAGATATGCACGCCAGAGCCATTGTTTGTGGGAAGGCCTCAAGCAAAGTACTAAACAAATGGACCGGATAATTGACATTTACAAGCTGAAACCACATCTACGATTTCACATGCGCACAGATTTCTAATTCGGAAGAGCAAAGTGAATAAGAATAGTTTTATGCGCTCGAAGTAGGCGATTTCTTATAGCATTGTTCTTGTTTTGTTTGATCAGCAAGTCCCAAATTATTAAAATTAATAATTACAGAAAACTGCCCCTTATAACTGTGCTGCTAATATTTATTTGGAGGTATAGTTGTGATTTTTTTAAAGTATTTTTTATGGTAGGATAAAATAAAATATTGTTTTTTTTTTATTTTTTAAAATTATTTTTAAAATCACCACAATAAAACATATAAAATATAAAAATATTAAATTTTTATAAAATGGTGCGACTGCGTTCCCAAACCGTAGCCACAGCCTGCCTGCCAGGATTTGAGATTGCCGGGGCAAAGCCGTAAACATTGCACCGATCCACGGAAAGTTTGAGGCTGGTAAAAAAGCCCCTTTGCCTATCGCATTCACAACGGCCTTTTTATAGCTAGAGACAATAAATGCCATAAATGAGCTTGATGAAGCTGCAATTTTGTTCGAGATAAATTAATGAGCAGGACGGAGGTCTCTGACAACCCTGTTCTTGACCACTTAAGCACTTAACATGTACAAAGCTCGTGCCAGGAGGGGGAGGGCTAGAAAATTGCAGCCCGCTCACCAGCAGATAAGCAACGTGAGCCTGTCTAGCTAGTCACTTTTGGGCTTTCTTTTTTTGTATATTACATCCTTATTTTTCACGATTCGCGGGTCAAACCTGGCCTTATTGGGTCGCAGAAGTCTCATTAACAGCTTGCTGGCCTCTGCTGGGTGAATGGTGATGGCAGGCCCAAGATCTTGGGTTTGACACTTCACCCCCACCCAATTTTGGGTCTCGAGGCCGCAATTGGGGGAATAAAACAGAGAGAGAAAGAAATAAAGAGAAGGGCAAATAAGGCAATCCATGACGTGTCAAAATGTTAAACCTGACCTCTAAAAGGTAATTCTGATTTTTTTTTAAAGTATTATTCGTTTTTTAAATTATTTTTTTATTTAAAAATAATATAAAATATAAAAGAATTATTTTTAAATAAAATAAATTAAATTTTTATAAAACGCCGTACATGCTGTTAAAAAATTGTTCAGCTTTGAATATTTCCTGCCGACTAATAAACGAAAACAAAGTTCTCAATTCCATAAACAGCGAACAAAGCAGAAAAAGCAAATGGCCACGCTGCCTTACGCTGACGTGGATTCCAGCTTGAGAGCCATGGCCGGTCGAGCAGAAGGGTTTGGCCGGTTATCCATCGGTGGCCTCCACGGTCCTCTCTACTCTGTCACCACCTTGGCCGGTCTTTTCTCCTCTCAAACTTTCTTTTCCAATCAATCGTTTCCTTGATCAAAGATTAATTAATCCTTCATTAACATCCTTAAAATAACCGAACTATATATGTTTCTTTTGTTTTCTAGATGATGGGCCAGGATCACTACGTGAGGGTTGCAGGAGACAAGAACCATTGTGGATTGTTTTCGAGGTTTCTGGTACAATTAATCTAGTGTCACAGTTAAGCGTGTCATCTTATAAAACAATAGATGGCAGAGGTCAAAGAATTAAGGTCGCCGGAAAAGGATTAAGATTGAAAGAATGCGAACACGTAATTGTCTGTAACCTTGAATTTGAAGGTGGTAGAGGACATGATATTGATGGCATCCAAATAAAGCCTAATTCTAGACATATTTGGATTGATAGATGTAGTCTTCGTGATTATGATGATGGTCTTATTGATATTACCAGACAAAGCACTGATATCACTGTTTCAAGGTAAGTTTTCCAATTTATTAAATTCAGGATTCTTATTTTTTTTATTCCTTTCGACTTCTTGTGTTTTTAGAAGAAGAAGAAGAAGAAGAAGAAGGCTGACAAGGCATTTTCTTTTTTGAAAGGTTATTTAATCCTTGTTTGTTAATGTTGGATTATAAAGGGTTTTTTCCTTTTTTTGTTGATGTTGTACTAGGTGTTATTTTGCACAACATGACAAGACAATGCTGATTGGAGCAGATGCATCTCATGTTGGTGATAGATGCATAAGAGTGACAATTCATCATTGTTTTTTTGATGGAACAAGGCAAAGACATCCGCGTCTTAGATTCGGGAAAGTTCATTTGTACAACAATTATACAAGGAATTGGGGAATTTATGCTGTTTGTGCAAGTGTAGAAGCCCAGGTAGGAAAAGCAGAACGGTGCTTTGTTGTGATTAATCATGTGTGTGTGTGTGTGTTTTCATATAAAGGTTAGACCAACGATTTGCAGCAGGATATGCAGCTTCAATTGTAGTCTCATTCTATTGCGTTTCATCAGATATATTCTCAATGCAATATTTATGAAGCAGGGCAGAAGAAAAAGACTTTTGAATTTTATACAGAAAAGGTAATGTGATGCTCTTTTACTTATTATACCTCAGGCCTTTTATTTTTAGTCGAGTAACCTGAATGCTTTCGCCTAGAATATTGCAGATCAGTATCTGCCGAATGAAATCTACTCTATGTCAAATAGGTTTCTTTGCATATTACATCGGGTTCCTCATTCTGGATTGTTTTTCTTTCATTTGTATGTAATGATTCACAGGCAGCAGACAGACAAGGGGCTAGTTCTGGTTTAATAAGATCTGAAGGAGATGTATTGCTGAATGGAGCTCAATCATGCTTATTACAAGGTGTTGGAGAAAACTGTGTGTTCCATCCAGGTGAATATTATCCAACTTGGACCCTGGAGTCCCCCTTGGATTCTCTGAAAGATGTCCTCCAAATCTGCACTGGTTGGCAATCTATTCCTCGACCAGCAGGGATGTTGATAGCTGCGTAGTTCCATATGTATTTTCGAGCTTTATATCTGTTTGTGATTTCGACCAACAAAAACATATACTGATATGTGTCAAGTAAAAAAGTTGATGCTGGGTTAGAAATTCCTTGATCTTAGATATATATCAAACTCTAAAATCTTGTTCTAAAACGTGGTCAGTCAACATAGACATCCCCAAACTTACCCAGGTTGGCTTTGGCTTTTGCATTTTTTCCCCCTGGTTGACTGATATTGTAGTTGATATCTTCACAGGTTCGTTGACTTTCTACTCGATCTATACCTTTCATTCATATTTAAAGATTTTATGTTGAAATCTATATATGTCCTTCACCAATTTGGATATTTAGCCATATTTTGTCAGCTAAAAATAATCATTCTGATATAATACCTGTTTGCAAACTGCAAATAAAATCAACATCTGTGCAGAATAGGAGAAGAAATTCAAAGGGATTATAGTTAATTTTCTGCGGCATTGGCTGACTGCCTATTCTACCGCACGAAATTCACAAAAAGACATGATTGGAAAGGAAGTTAATAGATTCTATAATGGTGTTTTTGAAATGTATTTATTAAATGATTTCACTTGGATTTACATTATCGAGGAGTAAGAGATGGGGAGCTGCCTGAAAGGGCAGTTCCATGAAACAAATGTGCGATGTAATTCCCAAGATCGTCAGGCGTGAACCTTACACACATCTCAAAATTATTCTCCCGCAGCATCATCTTGTGCGTGTCATAAAACTCTCTGTATGCTGTTATAAGTTCCTTCGCAATTGACACCTTCAATTCATCCCTCAACTTCCTATCTGGCACAACCCATGATACCTGTTTCTTGTATGCTTCTTCAAAAGCTGCGTTAAACCTCTGAAAGCATTCCTTTGCTTCTTCAGGTGATAGTGGTGGAGAGTTTATTTCTGGTAGAGATGAGAATACCTTACCCCATGCCATTGTTTCATAGGTGGAAGCATATTGTATAACCTTCTTGGCATGCTTGAACACCCAATCTTCACCGAGAAGCACGTTAAGGTGAGTCGTACAGACCTTGTCGAGGACAATCTGAACATTGTTAGCTAGGAATAGGTATGACAAGGACATATCTTTGTACACTTCTGCTTTCCTATCAAGCTTGCATAAAAGGACGAATATGAGCCAAGCTAGGTGCACTGAAACTGCTGGTGTTAAACCGGAATCAGAGGTTGGACTCTCGAAGTAAGCTTCAGGCAAAGCCGTATTCCTTGGTGGTGGAGAATCGGAAACAATGTCAGAGAGAATCCTGCTGTAATCTGCGAGTGAAGATATGTAACTTGTAACCTTTTGGGTCAGTGGGTGAATCCCGCCACCAACGATCAGATTTTTTGACGAGTCCTTTTGAATTGTTGATTCAAAGTCAGAAAGAATGGCACGGATTGACTCGCCAAGTCCATGTAGTGATGAAGCAACTTGCAGTTTAATATCTGAGGTTGATTCAGAGTTGAAAATCAACTCTACCTCTGGCTGGAGATCAGAGAGTGCTTCGTAGAGTTCCATTAGTGGGAAAATCCTCTCTGGCAATTTCTTGCACTTAGCTACATGCACAGGAAATCTAAATAGATTTATTGCTCCTTTGGTTATCTCAGAAAAGCATGATTCCTTGATTGTTTGAGATGCCGAAAACACATGATCAGAGAGAGCTTTTTCTCCACTAAGGAGTGTTTTTACAGCGATCACTGCATTCATCCAGTTCTTTATCATATGCTCGAGTGCTTCCCAATTCATTTTGTGAATTTGAGAAGACCTGAATTTTTCGATTCCTAGCAGATACAATCCTTCATCTACAACTGATTTTCTGAAAAGTTTGTATATGTTGACACACTCAATGCTGTAGCCAGAACTTATCATACAATCAGCTATAGATTTGAGATCCGACATGGCAACTGCTACGACTCTCGCCACATTAGTGATGGACTCACCGGCTGTTTTGAACTCTTCTTCCGATCCAAGCTCATTCTCATCTTCGATTGAGCCATCCGGGGATCGAACTGAAATAGAATCTGGATCCAGTTGATTGCGTGTTGCAGCCAATACCTGATAGAATTCTTTTTGGAGTCTTGCCATGGCCATTTCCATGAGTTTCTGAGAAAGCACAAGCATAGCAGAGGTCGAATGCTCAGAGACTAACGTGTGCATTGCTCGACGCAAGTCCCTGACACTTGAGAGAAATTCTTCGGCTTCATCTCTGTTACCGTGGAAGAGGGAGGTGACTCTGGTGATAGATGAAGAGTTCGGGTCCCATTTGGTGATGATTAATTCAGCATTTTCTATAGTTTCCTCCGTCAAGGATTTGGAGAGCTTGTGGGCAGGGGAGGAAGGAGTGGAAGGGGTTGAAAATGAAGAGGAAAACGAGTGTGTTTTAGAGGATGAAAAAAAGTGGGCTAACATCCCTCTTGTTGCTGCAACGCTCTTCGGAGTCTCTGACCGAACCATTGAGCCCTGAAAATGGGAACTCAAAAGTAAGGAAGGAAGTTTGTAATTCAACTCAAGGAGGAAGCTTACAGTTATTGGTTATTGTTATCGAGTGTTTGTCATGGGAGGCTGTTAAATAGAGAAGAGGAGCTGCTAAGTTTCCAATCGAGGAATGTTGTTTTCTTGCACTGTTAGACCAGAAACCATTGACCGACTCAAGTTGGATAGCAACGAGATTTAAAGCTGGTTTGAAGATGTAACAGCTGTTTTAAACTCAAGTTGGATAGCAACGAGATTTAAAGCTAGTTGGAAGATGTAACAGCTGTTTTAAAATATTTTTAATTTAGAAATATATTAAAATATTTTTTATTTTTTAAAAATTATTTTTCACACCACCACGGTTTTTTATTTTTTAAAAATTATTTTTTCACACCACCACGTCAAAACAATCTAAAAATATAAAATAATAATTTAAATCAAATTTTTTTAAAAAAATTATATTATTTAAATCAAATAAGTTCTTATAGCATACTGTATTTTTTTGTACTATTGTTTCACCAACTAGAACCCTTTCAACTCTCCCTCTTTCTTGTTTGCTTTAATAAATTCAAGTCTATTCTGGATTTATTTATTTTTTATTTCTTTACCATTTTTCTGGTTATATCTCCCCCTTTATCGAGGATTTATCTCATTTAAATAAATGTTTTGGTATCACATTTTATGATGTAAAAGAAGTTGACACCGTGATCGAGAAATGAAATCTTTCATCATTGAAGTCCAGTAATGTGACTTGTTCTTCATTACTTGATGATAATTTGAATACACACACGCACACATATGCCCATGACTCGCAACAATGATCTTGTTTACCAGGCAAAGTCGCGCATACCCAGTCTTAGAACCAGACAGTTGGCGACTACCGTTATTGTTTAGAAAACTATTATTTATTGTGCAGGCATTGATTAGTGCATGATGAGTTTCTTGAGATATCGAGACACTATTTGAAAACAGAGAAGGACTCCGTTTTTTTTTAAATAATTAATTCGGAAAATTGGGATTTCTTGTTCAAATATAAAATTTGTCTTTTGAATAATTGAAAAATTAGTTTTCTAGCTTTTTAAGTTTATACAGAGTTCTGAAAACACACTTTGCAGTTTCTCTTTAGAATTCTCCCATTTTAAAAAAAAACAAAAAAAAAACGATAACTAATAAGATATTTTTATTTTATATGCACGCTTTTAACAAAACATTAATTTCTATTTTTACTTTTTTATATTTCTTAGGGTCATAATTTTATTTTTATTTTTATTGTAAATCTAATATAAAAAGTTTTTCTTTTTAGTTAACTAGTATATTATATAGCTTATTTATGATAATTCTTAATTTGAATGAAATTCTAATTAATATTTTATAGTTAAATTATTATAAATATAAGATATTAAGATGATTATTATGAACTATAGTTTTGATTTTTTTTAATGAAAAATAGTTATAAAGTTGAGCATTTCTTATTTGTTTGTTTTTTAAATTCTTTTTAGTTCTTCGCCCGATTTTTTACTGAAAAGAAAGAAAGAAAACTATAAAAGGAAAAGAAAACTAAACAGGAGAAGAAAAATGGTTTTCACCTTAAATATTACTTGAGCAACACACTTTATTCAGAATTTCTTTGTTTTTTTATTGTCGAATGATTTGTGAAGTGCATGCTAGACGGGCAAGAAATCTGCTGAGACTCTTTGGCTCCCCACTCTCCATTTTAAAACTCTGCTATCGATATCTCCAGGGGAAAATATGTTTGAACGACGCTGTGACTATGGCTAGCTGCAATGTTACACTGGAGAATTTCTTGTGGAGATTTCTTTCTCCTTTTCTTTTTTTTTTTTGCATTGGAGTCGGGCTGCGCCTGCAACCTACCATTTATTGTTTTTCGGACGAAATTTTTATTGCAAGGATTTCAAACTTGAATGTTATTCAAGGTGATTTTATTTTTTATTTTTTGAAGATATGGATTAAGACTAATATTTTTTTCAAGCAAAAAGGTTTTTTTAATTGCCTGTTGAGAAGAAAGGGAAACTGGAAACAGCATGGAAAAACTATTTATATAGTGGGGTTAGACTGATTCTCTAATGCTCGATTCTTGCCTATAATAAAAAAACCCGTTTAATTTAGTTAGTTTTCAAAACCTAGACTTGACCCGAATCTTCTGAATGAACTCAAGTATACATTCCTAATAATTTTCAAATTATAGTTACTATACAAATAGATCAATTTAACCGACCACAATTTTGTAAGTCTTTTCCTTTTAAAATATTAGTTTCAGCAGAGTACTGTTCTCTGATTTTTATTCACATGTTTCTGATATATGGTAGCATTCACATCTTCCTGGTTATCAACCTAGCTACTTTGAAAATCAAATGCAGCTGTAAATTCAAGCCCTAAACGTCCTCAGGGCTCGATTAATCGGTCACGGTTCTTAGGTCCTCAAGTTTAAAAAAACATTCGATCTCCAAACGTGGACGTGAAGAGGCATTGTGTTTTACTTTAACTTCATGGGATTTATTCGAACGTCTTGAAGTTTCCTGGGAAAATGACTGCAAGCAAGCAAAACAAGGATTCGTCTTTCTATTGTTTAACTATTTTAGCTTAAATCACACTAGAATCAATGGTTCCCTTTGGTCAAGTAACTATACTAAAATGTTTGCCATAATTTTTTTCTGATTGTCTTTGCTCTTGACTAAAAAATGACGTGTAATTAATTTGAAACTGTCATTGAATTCGATAGTTTATACTCTCTAAGAAGACGGTATGCTCGATAAGCACTCATGAATATGATAAACTTTCAAAGATTATTTTGACCACACTACTCAAAAAAAATAAAAAAATAACGTACCTGCTGGTTTGTGACAAGCAAAAAGAGACTGAGACATGGGAGAAGGGACATAGCTGCCATTCAAATACATAGCAAGATGCAAACTTTCTTAATCGTTTTAAATTCTCAAAATTGAATATCTTGTACAGTTCCAAAACCATACATTCAATGGGGATTAATTAGTGGCTGTGAGTTAAGTCTGGTACTCTATTTGTAGCTGCTTAGCAGATTCTTCCATGGGGAGTTTTTTCCTTGTTAATTGCGTAAGGACTAGGACGTCTGATATCAATTCGTTTTAACTTTGATGGGCAACCTCAATTCTTCGGCAGCCATCAGAATTTATCTAGTTTTGCTTCAACTGGGGAAGCTTTCATCTGTTTTATGGGGTTTAAACCTTTATTCCACCTAGAAATTATGGAGATCATTGACTTTCTGAGATCTCAAATATCAAGCCAAGCACACATGTTGACCAATTTTGTGGAGGCAAATGAATGGCATTCTACGGGAGGTTAACGACCTTAGATAAGGGTTCATGCACATGAAAAATAATATAGATATTGCTTGATAAATACACAGAAGAAATATATATAAGAACGAGACAGGCGCTAGTCACAAGCAGCGCCAAAGCTTGAGAATCGAGAGTAGAAATGAGTATAAAATGAAAGGTGGAGGCTCTTCCTCATGGCCGCAGGAATGTCTGACCATAAGGAGCATACCCAGTTTTGGACTTCATAAATTTTACTTGTCATCTAAAAAACGAGCAAAAAAAGTCATCTTCTTCTAATAAAAAAATAACATTTTTTTTGGGATAAACTGAAAAGTGTGCTGATAAATAGTAGATTAGATGATCTATCACCTTACTTGATAGGACTCGCACTCATACATGCAGGACCATATATCACATGTGCAGGATTTCGAATAACGACATGAATACTAAAATCAATATTATTAACCGAAACTATCGATTTTAATTCAAGGTTTCGAGGGATTGATTCGAGGGGTAGGAAGAATATCCATTCGGCTTAAGATTATTATTGTGCATTTTTCTATTTACAGAAAATGATATTGTTATAATTATCACTACTAACCGGCAAATCACTTCTTGCTACGCGGTGGTCAGTGTTTTTTTTTTTTTCACAGCTGTAAAAAATCACACTTTTAAAAAATATATAAATAATAATCTTTCTAAAATTGAATAATATTCTCCGAAACATATATAATAATATTTGTTAAGAACCCAGTAAGATTTTATTGTATTGATCACATAACACATAATCTTTCAATAATTAATATGTTCATTTCATTTCTTTTTTATCTTTGTTAAGAACTTAGTAAGATAATTTTTATATGTTTTTGGCAACATTTCTCACATAATTAGTTTGTAAAAGTGTCCATTATAAAGTCCACACCCCTAGTTATTATTTATTACTGCAACTGGAAGAGCTCAGACGACCACCTTGCTAAACACAGGCTGCGCATGCGATTTCAGTATTTCACAAACAAATGAACAGAAATACTCTTCAGCTGCAATTCCAATATAAATCTAGCTTCTTGTTTAGAGTGAGATACACCCTCTCCAAAAGTATAAAAGCATAGATTGAAAAAAGAGCAACTCCAGTTCACAAATACCATCAAAATCAAAACTTGTCAACAGAATAGGTTCAAGAAAGAAATCAAAATAGCCTATGCTATGGATGCACCCTACACCTTAATGGCATACTTTCTCATTGGAAAGTACATCTCTCTCTTCTTTTCGCGCTCAGTCTTCAGTGATTGCTGCATAAACAGGCATATCAAGACGTCATGCAAGAAGGCATAAATATATACATTAAAAAGTTGGGACTGGAACCAATAACAGATCCCACAAACCGCTAGGTATTTTGTTTCTTACGGCATTGAAAATGAGATGTGTACAAAAACTAAGATCCTTTAAAGGCTCATTTCAAATCAAACATGTCACTAACAATTTTAAACCTGAGTTCCTAATCAATACGCCTGTGCTAAACAACTTGGTTGTATATCCTTACTAGCATGCATCTGTAAAGTATCACCTTCTCAACACTTTCATGTTTCACGTATAAAACAATAATTCAACAAAGATGAAATGATACCTGATGCTTAGTAAGCCTCCTGCGGATGGCCCTGGTCTTCTTGGGACGCAGATCAAGGGGCAAAAACTTCTTCTTCTTGTATGCATCCCTCAATATAGCCTTCTGCTTCTGTGAAATCACGGTCAACACCTGTGCAATGGACAACCTCACAACTTTTCTGCACCACACATCAAGACCCAACACAAACAAGAAAGAAAACACATAAATATCAATTTGAACAATGAATAAAACAATATCAATGAGGCACCCAACTACAGATAAACAGAAAACATGAAGTAGTTGTGCACGCCCTATATAAGACCCAGGCATTTTTTACTTCCAAAGTAGAAGAACTCATTTACCACTTCAAAGAGGTAGAAACTTGTCAAGTTTCCTGTTATAAAAAGACGACTAAGCACCGTACATATTTGCTAGCGAATTCAATATCTAAAACAAAGATTATTAACTTCAGTCAGTTTACTGGTTATTAAGAAGCATTACTTGATAGCTCATAAAACTAAAACCTTAATTGTCAAAAAAAGGTTACCCCAAACTCGGATTTTAACAGTCATGCAACTAGGCCTTCAATTTTTTTCTTTCCACGGAAACAAGCAAAAAGCTGGTTCAAGTTTGGTTTGTATATTGAATTTCAAAAGCAAAACCATCATCCCCCCAAAAAATGGCAGGCTAGATACTTGAAATCACTTCAACATTTTTTGAAAACAAATTATTTTCATTTTCATTTTATCACAGAAAGCAGCCCAAAATGACACCAGACGCTGCCTAAATCAATAAAGCACGTCGATATAGCTTAAAGTCGATCCTAAACGAATAAACAAGATCAAATCCAGCATGGAAGCTCAAAAAACAAAAAAACAAACCATCACTGCCTAAATCCATAAGTACGAACCAATAAAAGAGCCCATTAAACTTAAAACAGAACTAGATCCATCAATCAATCCGTTTAAGTGAAAAAAAAGCGCGGAGAGGCAGAAAAAGAGAGGTGAAGGGATTGTGAGTGTTTACATCTTGGAAAGCTTGTTAGGAGCACCTCCGGTGACCTTAGCAACGCGAAGGAGAGCAAGCTCCGCTTTGAGATCCTTCAACTGAGCCAAAAGATCTGCCTTTGATTTGTTTCTCAACTCATGAACCTTGATTCTTGCTGTCATTCAAAAAAATCATAAATCATAAGTCGGAATAAATAATACCAAAACCCTAATCAAAATCAAATGATTTGACATTTTCTTGATTTGTTACCCATTGCTTCGTCCCCCTCTCTGGCAACGGCTGGGTGGCTGTCTGTGTTACCTCTCGGTGGTTACGGAAACCCTAAATAAGCGTAGGGTTTTGAGGAATTGACCGAGCGCGGGAGATAATGGGCTGGGTTTCAAGTCTTCAGTTTACCAGGTTAGCCCAGTCTCCTGAGAAAATATTTCGTTAGATTTGGGCCGAAGATGATTTCATCAGCATGGGTCTAGCTTAAATCAGTTGATATGTGTATTTATAGGCCCAGCTACTTAATTATTTGATTGCGATCCCCAGGAATCAGGATCCAATCATGAGGGCACTTGTCTGCTTCCGATTTTTTTGAAAAACTGTATTCTTCAGATCTTCTAGGTCTTTGACTGAGTTCTTCCAGCAAACAATTTGCTATGGTCGATGAATATTTCAATACCAGGCCTTAATTTAATATGATTGTGTACCGGGGCTGTCAATATTTGTGTAGTTTATTGGAGGAGTTTATTTCTGGGATACCTTGAAAGGAACCCAGAACATTAACTTTAACAATAACTCTTAGGTTTTTTTGGGTTTTTTTGGTTATAATAATAGACATAGTTTACTGTTAAATACTATAGTAAAATTATTTTTTTTTGTCTTTGAGTTGAAAAAAAAAATGTAATGATATTGGAGTGTTTTGATCTTTGAAGTTAATTCATTAATCATTAAAAGACTATTTAGGAGCATGTCAGTATTTTTATTTTTTTCACAGTAAAAATACGATTTTGTACTGGATTTGACAATTTCTAGAGTTTTTTAGTCTTTTAAAAAATATTCAAATAGTTAAATATTTATTTATCTCTAAAATTTTTAAAAAAAGTTGTTGACTAAAGGTTTTTTTATTTTAGTTTTTGCACTTTAAAATATAGTAAAAATATTATTATACTCTTATAAAAAGACAAAAAATCAAAGCATATGTTTAGGGCATTTGTATACTTTCATTATGGTTTCTATTTTTATGTTTTTTAGGTTCTTGAAAGATATTTTTGTATTTCTATTTTAAAAAATAATTATTTTATTCAAAAAAAATATTAAAGAGTTATATTCACGCACCAACAAATAAGTGTCGCTTATGATATTTGAGTGACGTGTGTAGATTTTTCTAGTGAGCAAACATATCTTTCTATCATGTCATTGAAAGTGTTGTTATATTTTTTTATGAGGCAGTGTGTATCGGCGTACTATAGTTGGTTTCTTACTAATAATTATTTTTATTGTTTTATATTTTTTATATTTTAAAAAAAATAGTCTTGTGGTGAATTGCTGAGGAGTGAACTAGTTTTATATAGGCAGAAGAAGTGTGTGTGTATAAAGAAAAACATACTGTATAGCTCAACAATCCAACAGTATAATTAATGCTCCAAGTTTCCATCAAGTTACTGTTTAGTTCATATTCCTAGAAAAAATAAATGAAATATTTTTACCTCTATTACCCAAACCAACTATACGAAGACTTTAAGAGATGTAGATGTGCGAATGAAAAAAGACAAGGGATTTTGGAGCGACAAGATGACACTGTCGAGCCAATGTTCAACTCTCTGAGAAAAAGAATCCGAGAGAGAATCCCTTGAAGTTACATCAATTCAATAACATAGACGCGGCAAAGAAAGAATATCTAGGATGCTTTCTATCCTATTAAATCTTATCGGATCTCTAGTATTTTTCATTAGGTTAGGAACTGGCAGCTGGTAGTGTCAAGTGCTAACCACCACAATTTGTATTCCTAATGGTTGCCATGAAAGTCTTCACTGACAATGATATTGAAGAAAATCAATGGAGGACTTGATCATATGCCTTGATAATCATCTTGGACCCAAGGTTTTGACCAGTTGCCATGTATCGTTGAGAAATCAAACCGAGTGAGAAAATGCGATTTTCCTACTGCATGCTCTTCGTTCTTTATATTTCTTCGATATCTTTAGAATTGAGTCAGGATCTTCCGGAAAGACAGAAATTAAATCCATGCATAATACATACTGCTTGTATTATTATTTTTTTCGATGGCTTTACATATTCTTTTAAATTAGGTATATCTTTAACCGATTTTTGCACTTTGAGATCAAACCTATTTTTCAAATCAAGGACAAGCTATTAATTTCTGATCAACTAAGAAATTTATGAAAATCTTATGCATGTATCGTGGAATGATTTGGGATTTTAATATTTGTCTTTATTTGACTAATTGATCAGCATGTGTTTTTGTTTCTTCGATCACCTGACAAGAAATAAATATACCAGTGTATGCCTTTCCTCTTCTTCTCTCACGCGAGCACCTTAGCTGAACGGGATCGAAGAGGACCGTACGTCTATGAGAAATTAAAGAGCAGAATTTGTTTGCATGCTGTATCCCTAATGGTTGAATGAGAAATCACACTAAATCATTTCTTCTTTCTTGCTGTTTGATTGCAGATTTGAGTGTTTTGGTAAGGAATTGGCCCGTCACTTTTAACTTGAGGTTTTTTTCACTGGACTAACCGGTTTGTGGATAGCTAAATTGCCCATGAATCCTGTTAAAAAGAGTCAATGTTGTCGAGGAAACTATGCAGTCATCAGTTATTTTTGTGTTTTAAAAATATTTAAAAATATTTTTAAATTTTTTTAGTTTTTCAAATTAATATTATCTTACTTTGCTGTTATAAAAATAATTTTTAAAATATAAAAAATATTATTTTAATCTATTTTTAAATAAAAAAAACTTTAAAAATCAACGACTGCATTTTCAAACACATTGAATAACTTTTATTCCTCTTAATTAATTATGGTTGACTTTGCGTTTTCTCTCGGCACGAGGTTCAAAAAATTCAACGGCTACGTTAGACATAAATAAAAAACTATATTGAAATTGGGAATTGATGACCATGGACGCTGCTTGGTTGCACAGGAATTCTCTTTTGATCCTGATTAGCTGCTTCTACTGCATTGAAGTGATCGTGTCCTAAAACCTCGACGAGGAAAATCACGTAAAATGAATCTGCAAATGAAGGTTACAGATTTGGTAAGAAGAAGGGATTTATGCTCGATTGAGAATTACTAAATTTAATTTTTTTTTTTGGTAGTATTGAGAACGAATTTTCACATTAAAAATGAAACCTCGAAGGAAGAAAAGGAACAGGGAACTTCACTCATTGGTGCCATCGAAAATAATTGCAGGCCCCAAAGCTGACAAATAATCCCAACCACGTGGTTCGCAAGCCAACCACCACAAAATCTAATGATTTAGTGACCTTATCTCCTCAATGATATCAATGGAGTAGAATCATAACATCACACAAGAAGGCCGCTCAAGCAGAGATAGTCCACAAAGTGTGGAATTATATTCTAGTGTGGGATTGATGTTTTGAGGTGAGAAGATACAATCCCTGTTCGGTTCTCTCTTGGCTTTTTCATTGGAATACGTGGATGACATCTTACGTTCCAGACATGGATTATCTTCGGTAGTTGTCCTCGTTCAGTCCAAGCAGAAAACAACATGCAATTCTCTGTATCGGGCTTGTATCACGGTAACACACAGAGACATATAATCACGCTGCCAAATGCATAGGAAACAAAGTCCTGGACAAGTTACATGTGATTTGATGTCCTATATAGATTTGCTATGGCCACCTAGAATCACTGAGGGGCCATGAATGCCCTCAATGTACGCACGGGCATTAGCCATTCTTACTGTGACTTGGAGGAGCAAGTCTGTAATTCAAGTGATATTTGAGAGAGGAATAGATCTGCAGTCCTTTGGCTAATACTCCATTGAGGGATAAGCAAACGGACACCTCAATTGTTTTGAACCGAACATTTATATTTCTGTTTGTCGTACGTTGTTTGGATTCCACAAAATCCAACGATTACAATTTATCTGTTCCTCCTAAATCCTCTATGGTGCAAGCCTTGTAGTCATTTAATAACTATATCCTCCTTGGTTTGATTGAAGTGGACCGAACTTACACCCAAGATCAGGGGCAAACGCCAAGCAATTATCACTGTTGTTGGATATATGATTGGCGTTTGCCGCTGATCTTATTGAATCTTACATTAAGAATTTAACAAGAAGTACATAATTAATTAATATAGCATAATTAATTAATATAACATAATAAGCATTACCAGATGTTGTTATTGACATATACACTAATCACAGTTTAAAAAACTAAAATAAGAGTAGGTTTAATTAAAGACATGTTAATTTTTGTTTTAAAAAAATCAAAACAATAACGTTATAATTATTTTTTAGTTTCTTTTACAAAAATCAAAAGATTTTTAATCTATTTTTATCTTGGTTGACCAGGTCACATATGAATCCAGGATTTTAACCAGACCAATCCCTTTATTTAATTTTTTAAAACTCAAATCGAACAGACTTCGAACTAGCCTTCCAGACCTGTCCTAATTTTAAACGACAACGAATTGATCCAAAAATTGTGGAAAAAGGGAGCACACAGTGGGGAGCTGATCGAACCCACCTTTCATATTCTCCACGCAATGCTCTGCTGGTTGCAGTAATCCATCAGCTTACAATTCTTTGCCCGTCTCTACTTAAGACAACAAATCTAAGCAGCCATCAAATTCACAAATGATAACATATTACCATCTTGGAGATTGACATTGCCACTGTCTGTTTATCTTACAACAAACTAAGCTCTCTCCACATCGACTTCTTCATCACCAACGAAAACTGATCAACCTAATCAACCTAATTTTTGACAAGGCTATTCCTTCATTTAATTTTTTAAAACTCAAATCAATCCCGAACCCAAATTAACCCTTCAGACCAATCCAAGCTTTAAAATTATAACACTAACATAGTTGTGCACATTGTGAAAAATACACGCCCTCGAGAGCGAATTGGTGATGAGTATAAGAGGTCATAAAGCAAGAAAAAAATTTTGTTCCTTAATTAATTACCGGTGATTAAATCTTTATGTGATGCAACCTTGGTAAATTGGCATACTAATAATTAACTAATACTCTAAAAGCTGTTCGGAAATTACTGTAGTTTTTTCATGCCACATGCTTTTTTTTGTTTTTTTTTAATTATTTTTTTAATTTTTTTGTTTTTTAATATATTTTTTATTTTTTTAATATAGAGCTAATTAATA